TTGGAGTTCAGTCGCTTAGAGTTATCGCTCAGCTCACCAAGCCTGCTTCCGAGGGCGATTTTCTCAGGGGCGGTTGATGTTATTCGAGGGACCTACTGCAATATCATAGTTGATTACACTTAATTTGCAGTATTTTTTTTTTTTTTGCATTCCACCATTATAAATTACCTTTTTCGTTACACGAAATCCTTCATAAAATGGCATTTTATGGCACAGAGTATGAAGTATTCACCGTTTATGGCACGAATAATTGCGTCATGGCACATTTAGTCTATCTCAGCGAGAGAATCGTAGGGAGGTAGTGGTCAATCGAACAGCCGCCACCGTTTTTTCGCATAGATGTCAGATATCCATGACATCACTATAAAGGTGTTTCCAAAAATTAACTTTGTCATGTAATAAAGCTTTAACATAATAAACAAGTTGCATAATATAGTATTTGAAATTAATTCATCAAACGAATGTGGTCAATTGGTGTGTGTTTTAGGACTGAAATTACATTAAAAATAGTTCAATTTACATAAAACTTCTTGGTCCTGGGTGATACTATTGAATTTTTCTATTGTCGAATTTTGTTCTCCGGTTATTTATTTGATCTTAAAGATTATTTGCTTACACATTTTTATTGCCTCTACTCTGATATTCAATGTTTTCGTTTTTTTACTTTCCCAGAGAGTTTATCGTGAAGACTAAACCAGAATTAACGATGTTTTTATAGTTCTCAAAATGACGTTTTGAATGTAAGTCGTTTCATTTCTCGATTCTTGCAGATCAGCAGGGAAGACAAATAATCCCAACAAAACACGCCAATCACTGCTTTTGATACAAAAGAGCACGAGCCTCTCAAAAATCCTCCGAGTCGTTAATCGATATTTCACACGTTGATAAAGTGACATAAGATTGAGAAAATCAGATACTGATTCACGATTATTATCGGTAATAATATCACACAAAAACAAAGTGATCTATTTCTTAAATCCGTACTTGATTCACTATTAGTCATACTAAAAATTTAAAAGTATGTGTTGTTCCATGACACAGATTTGTGACCAAACCATAATTCAATACTTCTCGACCGCTCGAAGATTCATTTCATTCTGTATGCCATAAGAATATGTCCTGATGTTGCGCATTCACTTCACATTGGAAGTTTGCTCCTGCCGGAACTTATTAGGAGAAAAGTGGGTGCTGTGAGTGGCCCCACGGCGTGTTGACCCTGAAATGCTGCGTGTTCGTCGGAGGGAACGTGTCCGCTGCTGGCGGATGTTGGGCGCTGCCTCCCGGCGGGTCCAAGGGCGTGGGCGCAGGGGTGGTGGCCTAGTGGAGCCATCGATCGGGGCGCGCCCACCGCGCGCTGCCCGGCCCCAGCCCTGCGCGCCCGCAGCCCTCGGCGGAGCGGGGCGCGGGGCGGGGCGCCGCGGAGGCGGGGCGCGGGGGGCGGGGCCGCGGAAAGAGCCATTGAGGCGCGTGCAGTGATCGCCTCAGCCGGGGCAGCCCCCGTCTCACGGCCCCGCTTGCCTGTCACCTCAAGGCCGGCGCGAGAGCTTCGAGTGGGTGCGGCGTTGGAAAGTGGCGTGCACCTGCCACAGTGCGTGGCCGCGCCTCCCGACCGGCCCCGCGCAAGTGCGCCACCACCTCTAGCCTCTGCTCGACTGGTTGCACTTTTTTTAAAAAATAACATTTTTATTAATAAATTAACAAAAAATTCTAAGAGTTTTTTTTAAAATACGTTTTGAAAATATGCAAGTGGTGTCGTGTTAAGTACCCCCAGAAATTCAAAGACGAATGAACAGACAGACAGGTGTCAAGATACCCTTTTAAGTTTCAGAGATCCCCAAAACGTGCGTTTCCGTTTAAATCTTGACAGTGATATACTGCAATTTTGTAGCACAACATAATTATGCAGTCTACAAGCAATAACAGAATAGTTGCATCTTCATTTATCATCCATCAATCAAACCATGAATCTCAGCTTAGATCGAAGTGGCATAGGAAAGTGGATCATAATAAACTGAAGAAAATCAGATATCCATTGGATTTTGTTCGTGACAGCTTTAGCACTCAATACTTAATATCAAATGCCAGATTCTACTTCATTATTCACATTCATTCATCCACACTGACTTATGCTTGCCCGGTATGGGGAAAAGCACCTTCTTCTACCATACAAAAAATGCAAATTGTCCGAAATAAAGTTTTTAGGAAGTCAATTAAATCTCCATGCTTATTACCTAACCATCAAATTAACAGAGAAATTCAAACCGATACCGTTTCAGAACTTTTCAAAAGAATAGCAAATAATTTATATTCTTTCTTCATTTTATTCCGCTCAAAATTTCCATCTAGCTCGAACAGCAAATACCCCATGTTGAATTAAATCAAAAATTCCCCAAATACATGCTTTGAACCTTCCTAAACTAATAATTTCACGCAAATTAATTAAATGAAATAGAGTAATTTAAACTCAATTTGTCAGGGAATGCCCAAATCCAAAAATGTCAGCATGTAAAACTAAAAATCCTCTAAAGACCTCTGGCCGAACGGGGAAGAAATTTTTTTTAAGTGACAAATTTGACCGCGAGAGCGTGTCCACAAACGCTCCTGTGTGCTCGGACGGGTAAATTCGTCTGGGTAAAACTGTTGTAGACCCCGAACGCTGAACCGGAGTAGGGGCATGAAGAGGGGAAAGTGGCACGGATTCCGGAGCTAGTTGTTTGAACTTTTGTTCCGGCATCCGCCTGGAATTGATCCAAAAACACAAGGGAACGACTGTACAAAGCGACCGACCTCTAGAATTCTCATCCCGGCAGTAAACTCTTTCACAGTATTGTTTGCAATCTGCCTGTGCTATCTTGCTACAGACACTGTTTAGGTGATTGTTTTGTCTTACTGTTCGCACATAATAATAATAATAATAATAATAATAATAATAATAATAATAATAATAATAATAATAATAATAATAATAATTCCAAAGAATTTGAGAAAATAATTGTGAATTTTCTTCATTTGGGGTAACTTGCATGCAGAAGGAAACCATTTCGATGTTTCAGGAAGTGTAAAACAGAGATTCTCAACCATTTTCTTTCATCGACCCCTTTTAAAGAATTTTTTTGACTCTTCACACTACTCTCTGTAATATACATAGGATACATTATTATGTCCAACACAAAGAATTGCACACAAATTTCTTAAGGGTAACACTTTCGTGCACCAATATTTTGGTAAATATCAGGACTAGATTTTCAGTTATCGAAAACGCTTCCGCCTCTGAAATTGTGAATTTCTAATCATAGTTGTTGCGCAATGGGTAGAAACTGTCGGTCGTTTTTATTAACTCGCTGTAATATTTTTCCACTGCGTATTGCAGGGAGTAATTTATTTTGCTATAGAGTAGCGTTGGGGATACAATGTTATAAATTGTTGAGTTTTCTAAGCATCATAGGTGTTGCGTAGCTGTGTTCTCGGATGCTCGTGCAGAAAGTCGAAATGGCCCTAACTGCAAAAATCGTAAATTAAGTTTAAATCCAATTGGTATAAGAATGAGACTGGTATAATGGAGAAAATATGCATGAAGTGCGATTTGTTTCATTCTTTGCTGATATCCCTCCGCGGGGTTCCTTACAGAGGGCCCCTCACTCTGTCGGACCGGTTGCGCCAGCCTAACTACACCCCTGATCTAAGTATGAACGACGGACACGCAAGAAGAGAAGTGAGCTTGTAATGTATTATTATATATTCTCTATATCAAAAAATTATCGAATTAATATAATTTTTGTAATCAATGGGATCTCGATTATACTTATATGTCTCCGGTTCATATTCGTCTGAAACCCCAATCGCCCTCTTGATCACCATAACCCCCTCTTCAAAATGTCATGGACCTCAGGGGGGTTGATGCGCGTTGGGAACCCCTGGAGCTAGACTAACTTTAACGGCAATTGTTTAATATAATACAATGTTCTCCATATTATATTTTCAGGACTAGATTGATAGAAAAAATGAGGCAATATTTTGTGATGGACTAATTTTGTGTTGTATTAAGAACGCCATTAAAATTTGTTTTGAACTTTGAAACGGCAGTTGAAAATTTGGCAGTTATGTTTTTATTTTCATTTTATGTTATTTTATCATATTATTTTTATTTATTTTATCATATTTGATTTCGCGAATTCGCCTCGGACCACGCGGACATGCACCTGCACTTATCGAGATTAACTATCATTTATCCCGTGGCAAGTGCATGCGACGCCTTTTTAAGCTGAATCCGATTTTTATCCCCCAGGGTTGCTAGTCCTGGGAGAATGGAAGATGGAATGATGATAATAATGAAGGATGAATGGGTAACACACACATACACACACACATATGCCCGATGCGAGACTCGAACCCACGATCCTTCCGTCCGAGATCGCCACTGCACTACTGCCTTAGTGATCTCGGCTATCCTGACTGGCGTTTTTTGTCACGAATTGGCCTTTCTATAGACCACGCAAACGTGCAGTTATACCCAACCAAGGCCCAGCCGTATTTTTCCTGTGGGTATGTACGTGGAACATTATTAGGAGGGATCAGCATTTCTGCTGAGTCCATTTTTACGCCCCAGGGTTGTTAGCCCTGGGGGTATGGAAAATGAAATGATGATGATTATGAGGAGTGAGAGGACGACACACACAAATGAAGAAAATTCACAATTATTTTCTCAAATTCTTTGGAATTATTATTATTATTATTATTATTATTATTATTATTATTACTATTATTATTATTACTATTACTATTATTGTTGTTGTTAGTATTATTAATTATTATTATTATTATTATTATTATTATTATTATTATTATTATCGCCATCATCATCAATGCCTGTTCCGTTTCAAAGAACATTGCAAATTAAAGTAACGATTGTTTACTCGGAAATGATTTGTGGATGTGATAAGTGACCCGCCGTGCTTGGGCCCACTGTGTGCGTCAGCGCGGGCGGCGCGCGTGCGGCCGGGCAGGCCCCCGCGTGGACACGCGCGTTGTTGACTGTCGGACTCTCGCTGGCCCTAATCAGGCGACGCCGCCGCCCCTCGCGCCGCCGCTTTATATTGCGCGCCCCGGGCGGAACTGGGCACACAACGGCCCAGACCTTTCCGCCAATTCAGAGCTCGCTCTGCTCCACATCCTCTCCGACATGCCCGCGCTCGTTATTCAAAGGTAAGGAGTTTGGCTTATCGACGCTCGCGCTTTCTCGTATTTCTGATATTATACCCTTTTAATCATATGGTACCCTTTGTACCGGACCTGGAAATGGGGGATTTATTTTGATGGATAGGTGATTATGTAGATCCGGTATGAATGAAGGAGCAACGAGTGGCAGAGGAGACACCTGAGTAAACCTGCCGCGAACTCGCTTTATCCGCAACAACTTCCACGTAAATCGCCCGTGATTTTGAACCCTGGTGCTGATGGAAGGCGGGTTGTCTGATCGCCATGCACGTGCCGTCCCTCTCTTATTATTCTGGAGAATACTGCGTTCTGACACATGATTTATGCAAATACATTCATAAGTGTTTAGTGCTTTTTTATTTGTTTAACAAAATGATGGATTTTTCGTTTGGCAAAAGTAACCTTTTGTCATCCTCAACCCTGAATGATTCAAATGTGTATGTGTGTGTTCAATCCTCATCATGAATACCCTTCTGTTTGCAGAAGGAACGAAGGCAGAATGAATAAGCTGTGTCGTCAAGTGAGCATTGAGAGCCCCGGCCCCACCATCAAGGACTGTGTATTCAGTTTTGAAGTCCCTGTACCTGACGTGCCTCCTGATGGCGCGAGAATTCGCGTAAGTAGCCACGTTTCAATTGCTTGCATGTCGCAGGCCAGAACAATGCTTGGTTATACCGAGTCTGATGGGGATAGTACGACGGTTCAATTGAGAAGAGAAACACTGGCCCAGACCCAAAGGCATATCAGTTTTCAGAGGACGAATTTTATCTTTCCCGTTTGTTCGGGCGCACCTAGAAAAATCTCATGGACGTTTGTAGCTCGGACATTGGTTTATTTTCGTATTTAAATAGCATGGGCCTTTTTTTAATTACAGGGAGTGCAAATAATTATCGATTGTACAAGATATTGTCTCATGAAATGTTAACGCTTTTCTTAAAGTACTATTTATTACAATATCACTTTCGTGTGGTAATTAACGTTACTCTTGAAGAGCATGCCATTTCTTCATGTGAATTTTTTCGACAAAAAATTGGATAAACCCTTTTGAAAAAGCACTTATTCAATATAAGATGTCCCCAAAACGTGAATCGCCGTCACAATCTCGGGATCGATTTCGTGCAAGGTTACATAACTTTATACTATGAGAAAGTAAAAATGATAATGTTAAAACGCATCTCATTTAATACGATATAAAATCATGGCATTCAGTGCTGCGCAGTAAAGTCATTTTGAAATCTGTGTTGCTATTTTTCCCATAGGTTGTGTGTGCTGGGGCTTGTTACCGACTTCGCCGATCACCATCAGTGTCAAGCCTTTCCAGTCAATCAAGCGTGACCAGCGAATATTCTCAAGAAATTTGTGCTCATGCGAACATTCAGTCTCAAAGTCCAGCTCACCATGGGGTGCGAGATGGAGCGTTATTTCCTGGTTATGAAGTTGCAGGAATTGTGGAATCATTGGGAACCGATGTTAAAGAGAATGAAAACATCAAAGAAGGAGATCGTGTTGTACTGTACCCATATGAAGGTGTTCCTCATGGGTAAGATATCTAAAGTACCTTGAGGTATTATCTAATCTTTATGATGAACTGATTTCAATAGATCTTTAGAGTAAACCTGCCTATACAAATATATTATCTCATGGTGCTACTATAATTGGCTCAAATTTTCATTCACCTTTGAAGTTGACACCTGATTTTGACTTTCAAAAAATATTTGTGTGGGTTTCCTAGTGGGTCATATGTTTACGTAAAGATACGGTTTCTAATTGTTGTCAGTTGCGATACTTTAGCATGCCAAACCCATATCTAATCATATTTATAAACTAAAGTATATCAAATTAGGATTGACATTATTTAACCCGGGAGTGATCACCATGTATCTCTCATATTCAGAAAATGTTGTGTTGAATATCTTAGATGCGTTTCTTGTCTAGAATTCTATCTGTTTCTTAATTCTTCTTTTCTGAGAGTGCCTGGCGATCTATCTTTTCGCTAAAAGGTTCCTTGTGAACCTGTTGAAATTCGATCGCTGCGCTGCGCTGTATCTCTCAGATAAGTTGCGTGCACTCGTGTCAGTGTAATGTAAGCTCGTGTATGAGAGTTTATCATGACATTGCGTAAAGAAAAATTCAGTTAATTACGATGACATGGATATTATCAAAATTATTATTTTGTACAGTATGATAGTAATGACAATGATGGCCCATATGTAGTTGTAGATAAGAAACTCGGAACAGATGGAACTCGGGTGTCCTATGTTGACTCCCAAAAATAAATGAATTATTTTAATATCCTCCATTATGATGAGACGAGGTAGTAGATATGAAACCAGATATAGTAGATAAGGGGATGGTCCATGGTCATATTTTATCCCTCTCAATTGTATTATAATAAATACATAATACACATTATAAGTAATACTAAAAATATCAATAAAAAAATCATAACAGAGGTGGTATAGTAAACCTCACCAAAGATGTATGACAGAGGGATGCCAAAAAATAACGAGGTATTCTTACAGTGCAAGGAACATTACTTTCTTCTGTGTCTACATCAAAGCATTCATTTCAGAAGAGATTTTCATTTTTGATTTAGAAACAATTGTCGCAATTTCTTCCCGAAGAGAAAGATGATGTTCAGAAGCCTTCTCTAGGGAAACGAAAAAATGAGCGAGTGTCGTAAAAAAGAGAAAATATAAACACTTTTAAAATATTTCTGTGAAATTAATGAATCATTGGAACATGCCAGTACTATTTGGCAGCTACATTTAACATTATTAAATATAATTAAAAAGTGTAAAATGACTTTTTACTTTCTCGCCTACTACTAACCAGTACAGAAAAAGTATTGCAATAATGCGGGGGAACAATCGCGAATTTTCGACAGAAATAATCTTATTGCCGGGCCTTTGATACCGCAAAATCGATAACTGGTAAAACGTCTGAACGTCTGTCCGTTTGTCTGCCTGACTGAACAACGCTAGCGGCTAAACCGTAAGTAGGATTTTCCTCAAAATTGATATTCCGCGATCGGTCTGATGTTGCAACCCCTAGAATTTGAAACAGATATTTCGTTGTTTTTTTGGGGGGGGGGACTTTTTCATAAAGACTCAATATTTTCAAACGTTCCTTAAAATTGGATCCATTTTTCTCTTCTTTAATTTTATCAAAACAATGATTTTTATCATTTCTAAACTAATAAAATTCCTCCATTCTTTCACAGATATGCCGAATTCATCATTGTTCCAGATCTGCAATATTTAGTGAAAATTCCAGAGAGCATTCCACTCAGTATCGCGGCCATGTTACCAACTGGTGCACTCTTGGCTATGAATACAGTTTTCTCCACACACCAACATGTAGAAAACATTCTAAAAACAAAAGGAGAAAATGGTAATTAGCAGAATTTCAACTTAATGAAAATTGTGAATTTATACTAATTTTTTATAACTATTCCAAAATTGGTTTCCTTACGAGAGAAAACAGTCCATTTATGACACAAAGCCTAGTTTTCATATCAAGTACTAAGAAAATCATCACGATCCTGGAATAATAGTGATGTTTAATTGATTTTACAAAAGATTTATTTTTGAATTTCGTATAATATTATTTTACACAGCGTTCAGTTGTTTTCCTTCAGAGTTCCAGTTTGTAATCATTGCAATAATCAAAAAATAAATTGAATGCATTTCTCTCCAGGAATAATCTTGAAATGTATTGTGTATATTCTTGTATTTAAATAAAAACTAGAAAAGAAAGAATCTTAAGAAAATGCCCCTTTTTCTTTTCTGTAGTCATCTTGAATTGATTCCTGAATTGTTTAGCATAAATTTAATGTATTTACTGTTCAAATTCACATAAATCTTTAATTTGATCTTTTTATTATTCATTATATCAGAAAACTGAGTACAAATTCCTGAGACATACTTTTTAGCATCTAGATTGGGTCCTTGTGTCCTTAAGTAAGATGTATATAACTTTAGAAATAAATATGTGGGATATACATGCTATTTTGATACACATACAGTGTTAATTTTCAAATTAACATTATTCATATCAATTCAAATAAACATTAATTTTCATTTTTCAGTTTGTATTGTGTGCAGGATTAATAATCTGCTATTTCATTTGTAGAAACCTGTAAAATCCTCATTGTGGGAACTGGAGGTCTTGCTCTGTGGGCTCTCAGAATTGCTGCTCACAATTTCAGTGGATTGAGAGACCGAGTGTCTATCACAGTTGCATCTTTGAAAGATGAAGGATTCCTTCTTGCACAAGAGTGTGCCAGGTATGTAAATTACAGGTACAAATTTTTTTAAACTTTAAGCATTGTATTTTATTATCATAGGTTGTAACTTTTTTACTTTATTATTTTTTTCTTCTGTTTTACATTAATAGTATGCATGAGGAATAATTGCAATGGTCCCACATTAGATGGTATAATGCTCCGGGCTATGTGTATTTGTCCATTGCCCCATTTGCTACAAGTTGCTCATTAAGTTTATTTTAAGCAGTCTTTATCATTATTTATTGACCATTGTATTTAATTCTTAAAATTCTAATATTTTGATATAAAGAACTGTTGAATGGTTCAATACATTATAAATTTGTAGAAAATATATGATATTTATACAGAATTTATATAAAATACAAAATTTTTAACAGTATCTCTTTCACTTCATTTTAGAAGATATATTATTTCCTTAGAGTATATATTACATTTTTTAGACCGTTTGTTCCATACTCACCATGGTGTTATAATCTGTTTTTAGAGTTAATGTTGTTCAATGGAATGAAGACCTTTATGAGAAACAATTGATAGAAAGAACAAAAGATGCGTGTTCTGGAGAGGTTGATGTTGTAATTGACTTCGGAACTACATCAAGAAGTCTTCATCGTTCTCTTCAGTGTTTAAGCAAGGTATTATTTAATAAAATCTTATTATGTTATTTGTGTCTAGTTTTATTGTATTTATTCTTTCAATCTTTCATAGTTATTACATGTATTAGAGGCCTTTGTGATTTAACAATGTGACACATTTCCCTGAAAGAGCTAAATATACTACTTTTAATAGAAGTATCCTTTGCTAATTGAAAGCACACTTCAACAAATAATAAGATCTTTAATCAAAATATGATACATTTTTTCATAATACTTTCTCAGTCATATTAGCAATTAGAATTAATGAATTATATTCTACTTAAAGGTTTTGAGAAGCACATTAATTTGTACCATCAGCAAAAGTCAATGAAGGCAATAAAATAAACTTTAAATTAATACATAAGTTACCACAAACAACATACGTTAGAAAATATAGTATCCATTTTTAAGAATCGCTACCCTAATACATCATTTTATCATCAATTAATCATTTGGATTTTTATGTTATTATATTTGTCAGCACAATCTAACTTTCCAAATTTAAACTTTAGGGAGGTGTAGTCTTCATCAGCTCAGAAGTTGCAGAGAAACTGCTCCCCAAATTCAGCCGGAGAGCAGAAGAAAGGCAACAAATGATAAAGCCTGTGGATATGGGATCTATAGATCAGCTGAAAGAATTAGTTCAACTTGTAGCAAAGAAAGAGGTAAGTCAGTTGTTAATGGTATTGGAACAAAAACTGATCAAGCAGCTGCATTTAATATTTATATCATTTCTATAATCTTTCAATATTTCTTTCAGATTGAACCTCCTCCTCACACTGTGTTTCCTGCAGAGGAAGCTAGTGAAGTCATTCGAAGACTCTGTCAGTCAGATATTCAAGGCAGGGCTATTCTTCGATTCCAGGCTGTAGACTAGTGGTCTGTCTATTACACTCTTTAAATACTTCTAATTTCATAAGAAAAGTATATGTTGTTAGACTCATGAAAGTGAACTCACTGTTACTGAACAATGTGTAATTAATCTCAATGTGAATTTCAATAATGGAGTACTAGAATAAGCAAACTCATTTATGAACTGGAACAACAAGTTCCAAATCTTCATTTTCCTGAAAAGTGGACTCTCACTCATAACTGTTGTGACATAAATGGATGCTTTTTAAAATCAATGGTGCAAAGTATAGCAGAATTTCTGCATATATTAGTTCCAGAACATGAATATCAAAGGTGCAAAAACTAGCACTTCATAATGTTGTAATATATTTTAAGATGAAAATGTGTAGAATATTATTATGTGTAGTATTATGAGACTAATAGTGGATATAAGGAAGAAAGCAAGTTTAAACATTGTTTATTCAGAGATGTTAATTTCTTGAAATGAAAATGTATTTTCTATAAACATCATTATCTAAAAACGACAAATGACTATTTTTAAATTTTAAGAGAAGAACACTGGTTGAAATTTTCTGTCAAATATAACAATTTAACATTTATTAAATATTATTGGTGAACCATGGCATCAGAAAAGTGTATCACAAAGTTACAAGAAGTACTAACATTATACTAGACCATATGCATATTTTGTATATTTTAATTTGTTGTCTGAGAAATACATGAGAAATGTCCAAGTTTAAAATAGTTGTAGGTACAAATAAAATTTTAAAATTTTCAGTTTAATAATGGTATTTGGAAGACAAACTTCAGTTTCTAAAATTTTAATAAAAACACTTCTGCACGAGTAGAGCCTTAAGAAAGAAAATGGGTAGAATGTCATGCACAAATTATTTTTGCAAAAACAAGGAATGTAGAATTTTCTATACAAAAAATCTCTAAAAAGTCATTATAGATTAATGTAGGTAAGCTAAGTATCTTTATAGAAGACTGAGTTATATTGTAGAAGAAATGTCTCAATTCATGTATGTACTTGTATTGTCAACATATTCAATGCAAATCTCATAATAAAACCAGATGTTTATAAATTAAACTACATTTTGTTCTTGTGTAATTCAATATGAGGAAGTGAGAAGAACTGCTGATTTTATCAATTCCTTACTATATCTTCATCGTGGTGGTCTTGGTGACTGCTTAGGTGAGCCTGCTCGGGGGGGGGCTCGTTCCCTTGGTGTGTAAGCTGCTAGGTACTCTCCTTCCTCTCTCGGCCTTTTAGGTTCTCTTCTTCCTCTTAGTCTGAACTTCAAGATAGGTTTAGGAAGTCTGTTTGCATTCAATCTTTTGACAGTTTTTTTACATTCTACTACACATTTACATTTTACAACACATTTTTTTATTTTGCCTACTTTATTTTAGGGTATAAGTCTTAATCTTTTGTCTTTACTCATTCTTTCCGTTATTGATATTTCTAGAAGTGATCTCAGGTATCTCACCTTTACTCATCTAGACTACTTTTGTATCTTTGATTTAAAATCCACATTTCACTCCCATTTAATAGAACTGGTTTTGCTGCTATGTTGTGGAGTCTGAGTTTTGTTTCTTAAGACATGTTTCGAAATTTACTTTTTGTACATTTGTTTATTCTGTTGTATCTTGCCCCATCTGAAAGTAGTAACTTGTTATATTATATAGTATTGTATTACTATTTTGGTTTTGTGGCATTCTTTTCCTTTCAATCCCATTTCTTTGATTGTTGTTTATTAATATTTTAAAATCATTGGTCATAAAACAAAGATTTCTTAAGAAGGGGAGGCTGAATCTAAGAGCATTAAATGGTTACCCCAACTTACTTCCAGAGCTGTTTGTCAACTGAACACCTATTTAAATTGTAGATAAAGTTTAGGTTGTTACTTTGTACATGGAAACTGGTAAAGGTATACTGCCACTTCAAATATTTATAAACACAAACATATTTGTTGGTGTGAAAAGTAAATATTATCACTTTGTGAAAATTTGTCTTCTCAGGAATGTAATCCAATTAAAACTTTCAGTTATTATATATGAGTTAAAAGTTTTGTGCTTGGTTGTGATGTTCTGCAATTATGCAAGAATAATTATCAAGAATTCATTTCTAGGAATTTTTTATTTTTCTTTCATGTGGCCAATGAAAAATTGTATATTTGGAGGAAATTAATTCTCAACAATCAGGACAAAGTGATCTATTTAATTTCTGCAGCTGGCAGACATATTTCTGATCTGTTACTGAAAGTTCAGTTGTGTGTTGAGCAGAAGACTGCACAACCAGTCAACATAATAAAAAAAAATATCTCCATTGGTATGTCATGAGATAAGGGTCCATATAAGCAGTCCTATATAAAACAACAGAAATTTTAAAGATTAGAAACCACACAAAAGTCAATACATTTCATATACATTTACATGAGTGATACATTTCATTTATACATTTCACTGAAAAATATATACTGGCCTAGATAATTAAGTGAAAATTTCTAAACAGCACTAAACACTTTTCATAATACATTGTGGTATGAGTATTTTTTTAAATGTTTGTTCTTTTATGTTGTTAAATCTGCTTCATTTGAAAAAAATGTATTAAATTGCAAAAATTATGTACTTCATGAAATGTATTGTACTTTGCATATTTTATATTAAATAACAAATTATTGTAATCAAAAAGTGATGACATAATACACAGATAATTTATTTCACTGCAAAACATTTATTATATTGATACATTTATAATAACTTGAAAATCCAGTCAGAAATTGATGATCATTTGATAAGATATTTTTCCTAATAGGGTGACTACTTTACCTTGAAAACTTTGCGAACTTAATTTGTGCACCTCTCTGATTTTTCTTACATTCCCCTTAATATTTTATTTTAAAAATATCAGGGTATGTTTACTTCTGCATATTTAATGTGGTAAGAACATCTAATGTTGAGGTTACATTTTGTATCTAAAGTAATGTTAAAATGTAACCAAAGCTTTGTTCTTCAGAAGAATTCAACCCTTTTTTATACATGTGAGACAAGTACTATTCTTGTTCATCACTCCAAATGCCACTTTATTTTACATACTGATGTCATTTTTAACTTATATGCTCGTATACTTCATAGGTCATTTTGCTAACTTGTATTCTAAGTTGACATAATTAATAGTTATAGTATTCTTTGGTATTGTCAGTTAAGAAAATATTATTAAATTTTAACTTCAATTATTCTTGTTGAGTGAAAATAGAACATGGACTGCTTTACTAAATGAATAAATAATATTAAGTTCTATAATTTTATGATTTACATTCAGTCAAATGGGAACATGGTTATCGCCTGTCTTATAGAAAAAAAAGTATTGTTTTGGGAGGAGCTAGACAAATGAAAATTTGACATAGGAAAATTCAAAACTGAAGTGGTAGCAACTTTTTAATGTCACATTGTAAGTACCTCTTTTATACATTTTTGAGGCTTTTTCTCTCCACAAAATGTTAAAGATTTTCATCTAATTTTTTATACAGTAAATATTAAATTAGTTTTTTTTATTTATTAACATACTGGCAATCACCTAATGTTTAACCACTTCACACTCAGTAATCATAATTAATGAACATTATTATACCTATAAACAAAGACAACAATTCACTGTCAATATTTGGTTCTGTCAACAAAGCATGTATTAATATAGACAAAAAAGCCTTTGTTCTATCTCTAGGAGATAATTGTGTTTATTATTTTTGTTTATGTTTTTACACATTAATGTCTCAGATTAAAAATACACTGTACTTCTTGGTATATAGGATGCACTTCCTTCCCTAAATCTATGGTGTGTTCTGGATGCTACGATGTGTTCTGTAGACTGGTATTGAGCACACTAGCATTTAGGATTAAACCATCAATACCCCCAGTACAATATTTCATATATTTAATATTTTTTTTTAAATAAATATGTTTAACCTTTACTGTTGTCTCCAATTCATTTTTATTGCCTATACATGCTTCACAAAAGTTAACATTAGAGCACATTATTGATACAGTGTTTATATTAATATTAACTCATTGAAATAGATTATAAACAAAGAAAATATAGGCAACAATGTTTCGAAGTTTCAACTTCGTAATGCTCAGTTCTTTCAATTTGCTTATTGCCACAACAAATACTAGTATATAAAACAATCAACTGTTGTTGTTTTGCTCAAAACATTGGTTCCAAAACAGGGTATTCTATATGAAGGGAAATGCAGAATGTTCAAGAAGTGCAAGTAAAAAAGCATTCATAAAATACCACCAACTAAAAAGATACAATTTCAGTGCCTGAAAAATTGAAATTGCTGTTTAGAAACATCTAACACATCTTACAACAGAGATACAAACAAGCAATAAAGACACATGAAATTTATTAATCACATGATTAATCAATAAATAACAGTAATACAGAAAAGAGTACCAATTTTAGTTTATTCAAATATTTTTTTTAGAACTCTAAACTTGGATGCAATATTATTTATAAAAACAAAATTTATTTTCATTTATATTTCAAGATACAAATATAAATTTGAGGGCTGGCTCATAAAAATCGTCATTCCAATTTTGTCTGTTTAGTTTAATAATCTCACTATTTCTTTCATGTGGAAAGATAATGGCAAATATCATACTTGACGGTTATGTTAATAATATGAATTTTCTCATGTACTTCTCAGTTGTCAGTCGTCAAATATACAATGAATATCAATTTTCCAATGTCAAATCAATACCAATATCCAATGATTTATTATGAATATCTAATATCAATATATATTATTAAAAGTATATTTCAGTTTTTTTTGAAACATCATCTCAAACCACACACTGGTGTTGAATGTGGAGTAATCCTCCATTAACCTAGTCAGTCATTGTCTTTTATCCTTTCAGCCAGGGCTTGACACCACTAGATCCCCAGGGTCCCCAGACACTCATCCATCCAAGAAATCAGGGTGTCTCAAGTAGTATAACCTCCGTGACTTCAGCATGGTAAGCAGTTTGGCTACCGATGCTGGCATGATACTTAACCATCTGTATTTAATAAAATAATAAAGGGAAAATCAACTGTTGTCTGATACCCTCATCAAGATGGAAAGTAAATTTAAAATATAGTGCATTGATATTATCAATCACATTTGTTTACTTGGTTGCATTTGCATATTTTCTTGCTTCACTACTTTCAAAATCAAATTAACTGTTTAGTATAATCCTCAGTTCTTTATTTTCAACAATACATTACTACTATGCATTCCACAACAACTTCTCTGTATTTGATTGAAGTTGATCTTCTTGAATCTGGAAGCTCTTGTGATATGTTGGGTCAACATATTATCTTTTTCCTTCTTTTACTTTGTTGTTTATCTTCCTCTATTTGGTTGTCAATATCCTTTTGGTGATTGCACTAGTAGGCACCTCCTGCAGAGATCCACATGACTGAGGAAGGCAGAATGTCAACGAGAATGTGCCAAATTCTGAAGGGCTCACGTTTGCGACTTCTTATCCTCTATCACATTCTTCAAATGCAGTCCCTCAGCACGGTAGCTCACATTTTGTACATGGGAGTTTATTTTCGAAGCTTCTCCTCTAGATTTGCTGTTGTTTTTTAGCAGGACACCTCAGCGAGGATTTGTCCCTTCAACGCCAATGGACAAGAGGTTACTTGACGCTCAACATCTGTTTTACACTTCACTTACCCTGGGTTTGGTGGTTCATTGATTGATAATTTCATGTTTCCGAGCGGGCCCGTCAACTGCAATGGTAGTCCAGTAAGTGTAGTGTACGTTTTATCAAGGGAAGCGACGGTGACCTTCCCCTTCGGGATGGTGAGATCCGGCACAGACCTGCACGTCGGATTCCGGGGTTTTCGCCAGCCATCCCACCAGCGAGGTACTGCCTCAATCGGGACAAGCTCTAAGCTCCCGACGTGTGTAGCACATGTAAGCGTATGAATAAGGGGACGAGGATAGGACAACAAGAAGGAAAGATCTCGTGCGGTCCGTGGCTCTTTTGTAAAGCTGCTCTGGCTTTTGCCTTGCGTTGCCCAGAGAAACCA